AAGTATATTTAAACTAAAAAGTAAAACTCTTACAATTTCTCACACAGTCAATAGTAACAAAACTGAAACAGCATGAAATTCCTCACTGCTGTTCAGTGCTGATGTATGGTTTGCAGTTCAGTGGACATTCTAGCAGAATATCCCTAAATGGCCATTTGCTATAATAATTTAAAATGATTTTTTTCCCTCATTAATGTACACACAGCACCCCATATTGACAGATTAAAAAAAAAAGAATTTTTGAAATTGTTGCAGATTTATTAAAAAAGAAAAACTGAAATATCACATGGTCCTAAGTATTCAGACCCTTTGCTGTGACACTCATATATTTAACTCAGGTGCTTTCCATTTCTTCTGATCATCCTTCATTAATTCATTTGAGTCCAGCTGTGTTTGATTATACTGATTGGACTTGATTAGGAAAGCCGCACACCCGTCTATATAAGACCTTACAGCTCACAATGTATGTCAGAGTAAATGAGAATCATGAGGTCAAAGGAACTGCCTGAAGAGCTCAGAGACAGAATTGTGGCAAAGCACAGATCTGGCCAAGGTTACAAAAAAAATTCTGCTGCACTTAAGGTTCCCAAGAGTACAGTGGCCTCCATATTCCTTAAATGGAAGACGTTTGGGACGACCAGAACCCTTCCTAGAGCTGGCCGTCCGGCCAAGCTGAGCTACCGGGGGAGAAGAGCCTTGGTGAGAGAGGTAAAGAAGAACCCAAAGATCACTTTGGCTGAGCTCCAGAGATGCAGTCAGGAGATGGGAGAAAGTTGCAGAAAGTCAAGCATCACTGCAGCCCTCCACCAGTCAGGGCTTTATGGCAGAGTGGCCTGTCGGAAGCCTCCTCGTGCAAGACACATGACAGCCCGCATGGAGTTTGCTAAACGACACCTGAAGGACTCTCTGATGAGACCAAGATAGAACTTTTTGGCCTTAATTCTAAGCGGTATGTGTGGAGACAATCAGGCACTGCTCATCACTTGTACAATACAGTCCCCACAGTGAAGCATGGCGGTGGCAGCATCATGCTGTGGGGGTGTTTTTTCAGCTGCAGGGACAGGACGACTGGTTGCAATCGAGGGAAAGATGAATGCGGCCAAGTACAGGGATATCCTGGACAAAAACCTTCTCCAGAGTGCTAAGGACCTCAGACTGGGCCAAAGGTTTACCTTCCAACAAGACAATGACCCTAAGCACACAGCTAAAATAACGAAGGAGTGGCTTCACAACAACTCTGACTGTTCTTGAATGGCCCAGCCAGAGCCCTGACTTAAACCCAATTGAGCATCTCTGGCGAGACCTAAAATGGCTGTCCACCAACGTTTACCATCCAACCTGACAGAACTGGAGAGGATCTGCAAGGAGGAATGGCAGAGGATCCCCAAATCCAGGTGTGAAAAACTTGTTGCATCTTTCCCAAGAAGACTCATGCCTGCATTAGCTCAAAAGGGTGCTTCTACTAAATACTGAGCAAAGGGTCTGAATACTTAGGACCATGTGATATTTCAATTATTCTTTTTTAATAAATCTGCAACAATTTCAAAAATTCTTTTTTTGTCTGTCAATATGGGGTGCTGTGTGTACATTAATGAGGAAAAAAATAATTTCAAATGATTTTAGCAAATGGCTGCATTATAACAAAGAGTGAAAAATTGAAGGGGGTCTGAATACTTTCCGTACCCACTGTACATGGTCATAAACAACTTATCATGAAATTCTGCCCTCTTAAGTTTTATTGGTGCAAATTGGGATTCGTCCATATATCAGAATAACTGTGTTTCATTGTTTTTACAATTTAAAATCTTTGGTCTCCTTCCTAAACTCAATATAAGATTTTTTTTTTTTGTTTTTTTTTTTGCTTTATTCCAAAAGCCCTTTAAAAATGTCCAACTGTCTAAAATTGTCAAAGAAATTTGTTAAATTATAATTGAGTAAATTCATATTTCGATAGTCACTGCTTTCAGGTATGCTGCGCTTTATTGGGGTTTTGTAAATTGACATTATATTTTGCGTATTTTTATGTACTGATATTAATATTCATAATTTTCAGATGCCCGCTCTGGATTCGTTAGAACACCATGGGCAAGATTAAGAGGTATGTCTCTTTAAATTATAGAAAAAAATTACTTATGTACAATAGATACGTTGCCACAATTTTGACTTTTTGTGGATTTTTGCTCAATTCACACCGCAGCTGATCTGAAGAAAAAAATCCACAAATGAGGTGCAATTACTGGCTACACTAGCAGGAGTCAGGGTTAATGACAAAGGGTCTGCAGAAACAAAACCTGTTTGTGGTAAAAGAAAGGTATTATGGTGCGCCTGTGCCATCAACCAGGGTTGGGGGGGGGGGGTTGTCCCCCGCAGTATATTTTTGCGATCGTGATCAACTGGTTGCCCATTGATTATTTTCTTCGACCAGGAAATGATCGATGGGTTGGGCATCCCAGATATAGGGGACAAAATAATACAGAGCCTGNGATACTTTTGAAACAGCCAAGGCTATGGGAGTAAACCCAGACCAAAAATCACTACCAGCTTTGTGTTTTGGGAGCACACATCCCGGACCGTTAGCTTGGGGATCTATACAGCTCTCTGCAACTGCACTCATGAGAAAGTTGTCTTGAGTCTTCGCTCTTGCCACTGGAGCTCGCTGAGTGCGGCTAAGATGGTGGAGGACAGGAACCGCGCGCCCCCTTCTTCACCTAAAATCCACTCGTAGCGCAGGCTTGCCTCAACTCCCCCTTTCCAATCCCTTTTACCCCCCCAAACACAAGTCCTCTGGCGGCAGGATAGAGTAACGGGAGCAGGCCATGGATGTGACTGGGAGCCCCTAGCTCAAGTCCTGCACAGAGGCGCCATTGGTATGATGGTCGCTAGAGGATGGAACCAGGAACAGCGTCCTCTCTCGGCAGCGTCCGATGTGACTTGAGCAGCCCTATTTAGACTGCTCTATTTACACTGCTCACCCCGTAACGGGGAAGGGTCTAAAGTGGAACATTGTCTGTTCCACTTTACCTGGGCGGCAGACTGCGGCCGTCAAGGCATCCCCCTCCGCAGTCGAAATATAAAATACACTGCTCATGAATCTAGCTACCTGGAATGTTCGTACCCTACTGGACACACAGGTTGATACAAATAGACCTCACAGACGTACTGCTCTCATTGCACATGAACTCAAGAAATATAAGATCGACATTGCAGCACTGTCTGAAACAAGCTTTGCCGGTGAAGATTCACTTGCAGAGGTAGGTGAAGGATATACCTTTTTCTGGAAGGGTCTGCCCGAGGATACTCGCAGAATACATGGAGTCGGCTTTGCTGTAAGAAATACACTACTCAGGAACATCCCGGAGTCTCCTCAGGGCATTAACGAGCGACTTATGACCTGCCGCATTCCCCTTATGAAAGGCCGCTATGCCACTCTTCTGAGTGCCTATGCTCCTACCCTGGATTCCGATAGCAGTACTAAAGACAGCTTTTATAAATGCCTCGATGCCACACTATCCAAAATTCCGCTGGCTGACAAAATCATACTTTTAGGTGATTTTAATGCCCGAGTGGGNCATCACTGCAGCCCTCCACCAGTCAGGGCTTTATGGCAGAGTGGCCTGTCGGAAGCCTCCTCGTGCAAGACACATGACAGCCCGCATGGAGTTTGCTAAACGACACCTGAAGGACTCTCTGATGAGACCAAGATAGAACTTTTTGGCCTTAATTCTAAGCGGTATGTGTGGAGACAATCAGGCACTGCTCATCACTTGTACAATACAGTCCCCACAGTGAAGCATGGCGGTGGCAGCATCATGCTGTGGGGGTGTTTTTCAGCTGCAGGGACAGGACGACTGGTTGCAATCGAGGGAAAGATGAATGCGGCCAAGTACAGGGATATCCTGGACAAAAACCTTCTCCAGAGTGCTAAGGACCTCAGACTGGGCGGAAGGTTTACCTTCCAACAAGACAATGACCCTAAGCACACAGCTAAAATAACGAAGGAGTGGCTTCACAACAACTCTGACTGTTCTTGAATGGCCCAGCCAGAGCCCTGACTTAAACCCAATTGAGCATCTCTGGCGAGACCTAAAATGGCTGTCCACCAACGTTTACCATCCAACCTGACAGAACTGGAGAGGATCTGCAAGGAGGAATGGCAGAGGATCCCCAAATCCAGGTGTGAAAAACTTGTTGCATCTTTCCCAAGAAGACTCATGGCTGTATTAGCTCAAAAGGGTGCTTCTACTAAATACTGAGCAAAGGGTCTGAATACTTAGGACCATGTGATATTTCAATTATTCTTTTTTAATAAATCTGCAACAATTTCAAAAATTCTTTTTTTGTCTGTCAATATGGGGTGCTGTGTGTACATTAATGAGGAAAAAAATAATTTCAAATGATTTTAGCAAATGGCTGCATTATAACAAAGAGTGAAAAATTGAAGGGGGTCTGAATACTTTCCGTACCCACTGTACATGGTCATAAACAACTTATCATGAAATTCTGCCCTCTTAAGTTTTATTGGTGCAAATTGGGATTCGTCCATATATCAGAATAACTGTGTTTCATTGTTTTTACAATTTAAAATCTTTGGTCTCCTTCCTAAACTCAATATAAGATTTTTTTTTTTTGTTTTTTTTTTTGCTTTATTCCAAAAGCCCTTTAAAAATGTCCAACTGTCTAAAATTGTCAAAGAAATTTGTTAAATTATAATTGAGTAAATTCATATTTCGATAGTCACTGCTTTCAGGTATGCTGCGCTTTATTGGGGTTTTGTAAATTGACATTATATTTTGCGTATTTTTATGTACTGATATTAATATTCATAATTTTCAGATGCCCGCTCTGGATTCGTTAGAACACCATGGGCAAGATTAAGAGGTATGTCTCTTTAAATTATAGAAAAAAATTACTTATGTACAATAGATACGTTGCCACAATTTTGACTTTTTGTGGATTTTTGCTCAATTCACACCGCAGCTGATCTGAAGAAAAAAATCCACAAATGAGGTGCAATTACTGGCTACACTAGCAGGAGTCAGGGTTAATGACAAAGGGTCTGCAGAAACAAAACCTGTTTGTGGTAAAAGAAAGGTATTATGGTGCGCCTGTGCCATCAACCAGGGTTGGGGGGGGGGGGTTGTCCCCCGCAGTATATTTTTGCGATCGTGATCAACTGGTTGCCCATTGATTATATTCATCGACCAGCAAATGATCGATGGGTAAAATAACACAGGGCCACAAATGGGGGTAGGCAAGATGCATTCCCCCACCAGACCAACCCGATTTGCAAATTCCGCAGCAGGCAAGTTATTGTGTGTTGTGTTGTTTTTAGAATTTTTTTTAACTGCAGTATTGGCCACCCAATACTTTTTATCACCAGCCGCCACTGCACCCCATCCTGGGTTATTCCCTGCAATGAGCCCATAGCATCTACAGTAGAATAGGCTCTGGATCCACGACCCTGCATATGACAAGTGGATATGGAAAAACAGTTGCTGAATTGTCCATAGGTGTAAATTCGTGCATGCCTGGTGTGTGTGTGGGTGTGTGTGTACATTTGGTCCCCACAATGTGATAAAAACCTAATACTTTGATGTTGTGGTAACCATTTTTTGGTCCACTCAAGAGGAAACTCAATTTTATGAAAATCTGTGACCGCAATGAAAAAGCTAACAATGCCAGAAGACTTCTATTTTGTTTGGTTACTTATAGTTAAGGTTAGGGCTGGGTATTAGTTAAGGTTGTCATGGTTGGGAATAGGGTTTTCCCCATAGAAATGAAAGGAGAGTCCCCATAAAGATATGAATACAATTTTGTGTGTGTGTGTGTTTGTGCATGCACTTATAACAAAACACAACTCCATGAAAAATTTGCAATACATTAAGTTGATTTAATATAATGTGAGGCTGAATGGGTAAAGTACCAAGCTGGAATATTCAATTTCTATTTTCTCAGAGCGGCTACCCAGAAGATGCAGATACATCCTGGCAAGATCTGAGGAAGGTAAGAGTAAGATGGTGCAACTAACATCAATAGTAGGAAAGGCGTCACCAGGCGCTTGGGTCCCAGTTTGAGGTGACCCATCCGGGTAGGCACGTGGAACGTCTTGTCTCTCCGGGAAGATGACCATCTTCCTCTGCTGTCGGAGGAGCTTCGTAAACTCTGTGTTTCAGTATATTTGCCAAGATATACTCCCAATATCTTTGCAAGAGGGTGAAGGTCCAAGTCTTTAGAGTCCTGGTGCTCCCTGTCTTGCAGTATGGCTGTGAGACATGGACGCTATCTAGTGAGCTGAGACAAAGACTGGACACCTTTGGTACTGTGTCTCTTCGGAGAATCCTTGGGTACCCCTGGTTTAACTTTGTGTCGAATGAGTGGTTTCTTGAGGAGCCCTGAATGAGGGACATTACAGTACCTGCATTGTGAGTGAGCGCCAGTTACAGCACTATGGCCATGTGGCGCGTTTCCCTGAGGGTGATCCGGCTCGCAGGATCCTCATAGCTAAGGACCCGAGCGGCTGGACCAAGCTAAGGGGACGCCCACGTAACACCTGGCTGCAGCACATAGATGGCCATTTCTGGAGGGTGGGACTGGACCACGTGTCTGCCTGGGGGATTTACCCTGCACAGGTAAATAGCTACATGCTAAATACTGCTGCCTGTTGCACCTCTGAGAGTGCCATCAGGGGTAGTTGCAGGGTCATCAGCCAGGAGCCATCCTTCATTGATGTTTTGCTCTTTTAATCCTGGAACATCTCATGGTGGTGGAGCAACAGCTGGGATGTCTCCCTGCTGTCCCCTGAAGCAGACCCTGTAACCCTTGCAGCTCCCCTGCTTTGCCTTCTCAGCCAAATTTTTCAGGGCATTTTTGGGCTTCAGACTGGTGACTCCCATGCTCTTTAGGAAACACTGGGTGCACGTTCCCATGAATCCCCTACAGCCAACTTCCAGAGGGTAACTGACAGCTGACCACTCTGCTTCTCTGCACTCAGCTATCAGGTCAAGGTACTGGTCATTCTTCCTCTCAAAGGCTGCCTCTATTCCTCCCTCCTATGGGACAGTGAGCTCTGCCATGATCACTGGCTGGGCCATGGAGGACCATAGCATAATGTCTGGTTGTAGGTCGGTTGTGGCAATCTCAGTTGGAAACCTGAGCTTCCAGTCAAAGTCCACTCTCATGTCCCACTCACAACTGCCTGTTACAGCAGATCTCTATGACTGAGTGATGTTCTGAGCTTCTCCTTCTCTGATGAAGTAGATTAGCTGATTTGGTGTTGGTGATGATTAGTCTATGGCTGCGTCCAGCCTGCGTGTTTCCAGGATCTCTGCTAACTTTTGCAGGTCTCTGTCATGGCGCCACCTGTATCAAACCTGCGCTAGTGCTGTTTTACAACTGGATAGGATGTGCTGTAGGCCTGGATTTGGGGCATTGCAGATCACAGCTCTCCTCTGAAACATACCAAAGGCGCAGTTTGCTGGGACTTGGCAGGATGCTATAGGTGGATCTTATCAGGAAACTCAACCTGACTTGGGGTATCTTCCATATGTCTGGCTACCCCTATCCAAGACAAGATATCCTGGAGTTCCCCATGGTGTGAAAATCCCATCTCTTAGGAGGGAAGCAATTTTAGGTGCCGTAGCTTGTGTCAGGGGAAACAGTTCAACCCATTTACTACAATAATACACTACTTCCAGAAGATACTGGTTTTGTTTTTTGCTCTTTGGAAAGGGGCCCATAATATCGACCCCCAACATGTATCCAGGTTCTTTTACTGGGGTTGACTACAAATAGCCTGATAACTTTGTAAGCTGTGCGTTGTAGCGTTGTAGCGTTGGCAGATGATGCATCTTAACATACTCCTCCACATCTTTCCTACCATCAGGCTAATAAGCTACTTCTATGATTTCCAGTCTCCCCAAATGTTCTCCTAATGGTCCATTGTGATAGTATATCAGAAACTCTTGCATGCTCTTTGGTACATACAACTGGAATCTTTGTCCTTCTTGCCCAGCTGGCATAAATCTGAAAACACAGCCATTCTCAAATGAGTAATGTAATGCATTTATTTCTTTCAATATGGCCTGCACTTCAGAGTCATCTTTTTTGGCATTATACACGTCTGACCAGTCAATTGGTAGCAATATCTTGTATTTTTTAGGTACTTGGCTGACACAGAATTCCTACAGGATTTCATGATAAAGCATCAGTTATGTTGTCCTTTCCTTTAGGGAACAAAAAAAATTAACTCCTGCAGTCTAATTGTCCACCTCACTAATCTGGAATTCGGCTTATGATTAAACACCCATACTAAAGCAGAATGATCTGTGACAATTTCAAAGTTTCTTCCCACCAAGAAAGGCCTCCACTTTTCGACTGCCCAAACTACTGCTAGACATTCTTACTCAGAGACTGAATAGTTATTTTCCAGCTTTATTCAGTAACCTGGATGCAAAAGCAACAACCCTCTCTTTGCCATCAACTTCCTTGGTAAGCACTGCCCCCAAACCAATGTCACTGGCATCTGTGTGGACTTTGAATGGAAGGGGGAAATTGTGGCTAAGAAGAAGAGGAGCTTTGTAGAGTGCCCCCTTCAACCTCTTAAAGGTATTGTGGCATTCATGTTTCCAAGCCCACTGAGCTCCTTTCTTTTGGTGTCTTTGGTGAAAAGGGTTATAGGGCTACACAGAAATTCTTTATAACATATCCATTTTTTACCTCCATGAGACACACAGACCCAAGTGAGAGCAAAACTTGAGTCAGAGTACAGGGTCAACCATTCATCCAGCACCCCTGAAGCAGTTTTTAGGGTTAAGGCCCTTGCTTCCATCCATGGAAGATCTGTAATGTTCATCAGAGAAGGCTATAGCATTTAGCCTGCCTAAAAGCTCACTTTTGCTCCCTTTACATACGAAAATAAATATCTCCATCTCAAATGATGCTACTGTCACTGCCCACATACTTCCATGCATTCTTTACATTGGCATGGATGTTAAGCAACATGTCCACTAGAGGGCAACAGTGGGTTTGAACAGCTAAGGATAAGTTTTATTGTGAGTTTTTAAAAAAGTGTACCTTAAATCATGTTGAAAATAGCTATTTATTAAACTAGTGCAGCATCCTTTGTCAGTTGCACCTCTGCTACTTAAGTTACAATACCGTTAGTAGCTACTAAATAAAAATATTCTTGCACAGAATGCTTCCCTGGGGACATCCACCCATTTTCTGAAACAGCCTGTCCTAATGAGGGTTGCGGGGAGCCTATGGGCGGAAGGCAGGGAACAACCCAGGATGGTGAGCCAGCCTATTGCAGGATGCACTCACACACCATTCACTCATACACACACACCTTTAGACAATTGCATAACTCCAGGTAGCTTCAGCATGTTTTTGGACTGTGTGGGGAAACCAGAGTACCTGGAGGAAACCCCACAATGACACAGGGAGAACATGCAAACTCCACACACATGTACAGTAACTCCAATGGAGACTTGAACTCAGCTCCCAGACGCATGATGCAACAGTGCTAACCACTGCATCACCACGCTGCCACCCTCCCTGTAGACAACCAATCAATATCATTGTCTGATATTACTGGAACCAGCTTATTGTTCTACATGTTTGTCGACTTTGGGTTATACATAGCAACTGATTTGTTTTCTCTGTATCTGTATTAAGTATTTCAACTATTGCTGTTGGAAGTCAGTATAATGTTATATACACTATATTGCCAAAAGTTCTGGGACACCCCTCCAAATCATTGAATTCAGGTGTTCCAATCACTTCCATAGCCAAATCAACCACCTAGGCATGCAGACTGCATCTACAAACATTTGTGAAAGAATGGGTAGCTCTCAGGAGCTCAGTGAATTTAAGCGTGATACCATGATAGGATACCAGCTATAAGTCTATTTGTGAAATCTCCTTGTACTGAATATTCCACGGGCAACTGTTAGTGGTATTATAACAAAGTGGACACAATTGGTAACAACTGCAACTCAGCCACAAAGTGATATGCAGTGTTGGGAAGATTACTTTGGAAATGTAATTTGTTGCAAGTTACTCTATTTAAAATGTAATAGTAGTGTAACTATTTCAATTACTATATGAAAGTAATGTACAGTGGTACCTCGGTTCTCGAACTCACTAGAACTCGAATTTCTTGAAAGTCGAACAAACCAGTTTGACTTAGAACTCAATCTGAATATCAGAAGTCGAACCATGAACGCTGACCTAATATAAATTGTGCCAGGAAATGAGTCGTACTACAATGCAATTCTTACTTGAATGCCTTCTTCACAGACTGGACGATTAACCAAATAAAGCAGCGCAACATTACAGTAACTAACAATAAATAAACCACTAACTTACGTGTACTATTAGAGCATTTATGTCATTTATTTAAACTTTATTTTACCAAGTAAATTAACTGAAAACCAGTTCTCACTGCTTTACGTGATATTCGGGAAAAACAGCAGATTACGCATCGGAACTGCCTGGGATACAAACGTCATGCGTGTAACTAAACTCTTCAGCTAATAAGGGCAAAGGTGTGTCGTCATGGAAGCGGTTCCAGTTTGTGCAGCTGGGTGAGAGGTCGCAATGCAGCTAACCGTAATGCATTGCATCAGGATCAGAATGCGTTGCTTTAAGCCAGCGCTGTAAGCAAGTCGAACGCACCCAATGACCGGACTGGGGAAACTAACTGAAACGCGGACTTAATACAGAGGACTAATGACAACAACCAGAAACAGCTGATCACATGGGAATCCCACATGAGGTTAACGAGGGGGCGTGGCACACGGAAGGAGCGGTGTTCTGTCGAAAAATACTACCTATCGAGACGTGCTATCGAGCCTTTCTGCGCATGTGCAGTTCCACCGTTTTGGGATTAGGGTTAGGGTTAAGGTAAGGGTTTTAGGGGTTTTGGGGGGTTAGGGTTAGGGTAAGAGTTAGGGTTAGGGCTATCTATTAGCACTACGGTAGCATTTTTCGACAAGGCAGCATATATCGACAGAACAAGCGGAAGATCCGGGCAGGACAGGGGTAATGTTGGGATAAGATCTTTATCGTTTTGGGAGCCATTAAGAAAAAAATTCTCTTCTTGTTTTATCCAGTTCATTTTGTGTTTAAATGCTAAAAAAGAATACTTGGGTGTAATTTTGGGGGACCGGGAACCAATGAATTGGTTTTCCATTATTTCTTGTGGGAAAAATTAGATCAGAGCTCGAACTTTTTAGGATTCTATCCGGAGTCCGGAACGGATTAAGTTCGAGAACCGAGGTACCACTGTAACTAATTACATTTGATTACTTTTTGATAACTTTTCTAAATTATGAATGAATATTCTCAACTGTTAACAATTTTGAAATTTTGTAACCTGGCAGTGTTTACCTTACAGCAGTACTAAACACTGACTACTGTCAAACTCTTTTCAATACATGAATTAACATGATTATAACTGATCAATTTAATAAAGATACCAAACATACCATGTAGGCCTAATAATGATTTTAAATAACGGGTAAGAATAGATCCTCACTTCAAACTCAGTAAAAACCCAGATTCCCTTAGTGTAACAAGTTATAACATTAATGTTACATAAAACATACCTAAAATTAAAAAAAAAAAAAAGTTAAAACTCAGCCTACAGTTATTAATCTAATGTGTGTTCATAATATAAACCTTTTGGGAGTCAAAACAAGATATACTACGAGTGATTTGACCACTGCGTGATGCTTCAGGATTATATTATGATACAAACATTTTATATACTTGCGAAAATAAATGGTTCCATTTTATTTCTGATCTGAACAGTTCTAGCATCAGACAGGATATGAAATTTTAGCTGATTGTGTAATCACTTACTCTGTTTAAATCAATTTTTCAATCGCAAATCACGGAGTAGCCTAAAACAGTGTCTTCGCAGCGCTGTGAAATAAAATGGGTTAGCAGAGTGGTAAGGCTGCTTTGCCCAGGGGTTAGTTAGTGAATTTTCAAAACTCAGTACAGTATGACATAGCATGTCGGGAGTGCTAATAACAGACCTAACATAAATTACCAATAACTTTAGCATACTGAAGGAGGACGGCACATTGTCTGTCAACGGGATCAGAAGTGCCAGTGTGGCTTTAAAGCGCATTACATACAGTACTTCGTGATTCATTGTGGTGTTTACACATGCTGTCAGTGTTTACATTTTGTTTAATTGTCCTATGCGCCATATCTTATGATTGAGTTGGTGTTGTCGTCGTACAGTCTGCATACCTGTCATAGCCAAGATTATTAGATCTGTATCGCACAGTGTGATCGGTAATGATTTTATAAGATGGCTGAAATCATACAGTGTGTACCGGGCATTACACTTTAGACGCATGGTGTGGCACGCTGAAGGTAGGCATGTCTTCCCTGCCTTGTTTAATATGACTGTTTCAGTGTTTGCAGCTACAGTAAGCTGCACTTACCTCTAGATGTTTCCTTAGGTTGGGCATGGACTGTTTAGGTGTGGACAACATCTTTACAGCCAGTAAACACGCACCGCATTGCACAGTTAAATTTGTGCCCTTTTCCATAATATATCGCAAATGTTTTTTTGGAATGGAATGCATTCCTTTCCTTGTCTGCCATTGCCTGCAACAGAAACTCAGTCCACTCAGGCAAGTTAATTAGCAGAACTGGCTGCAAATGTAGACGCGACAGGATAACCAATCAGAAGCATCGAATAGTTTCAAACTTTCGGCTTTGGAGGGAAATAGCAAAGGATGATGTTTTGCCTAAGAAAAACACGAAAAGCAATAAAAATGCTGTTATTAAAGATATTAGCAAGGTTTTGCATACAATCTTATGATGTAACTAAAATTGTAATAATTAATATTTCCATAAGTAACTAATTTAATTACACTTTTTTTTCTCTAGTAACTGTAATGGATTACAATTACATTTTTTTTTTTAAATTAAATTAAATTACGTAAGGACATGTAACTCGTTACTCCCCAACACTGGTGGTATGCCACGTAAAATCACAAAGTGGGGACAAGGCATGCTGAGGCATAGTGTGCTGAAGTCGGCAACTGTCTGCAGAGTCAATAGCTACAGACCTCCAAACTTCATGTGGCCTTCAGATTAGCTCAAGAACAGTGCGTAGAGAACTTCATGGAATGGGTTTCTGTGGCTAAGCAGCTGCATCCAAGCCTTACATCACCAAGTATAATACAAAGCATCGGATGCAGTGGTGTAAAGCAGGGGTTTCCAAACTTTTCAGCTCACGACCCCTAAAATAGCCGTGCCAGTGACTCGTGACCCCCACTATCCTCGGAAGTGGTTAAAATTTACAAATGTTGCGCGCAACGGTGCACATGCGCCAATAGGCCTATCCAAACATGAGCATGACAACACAAAAGAACACAATGGTCTAACAACCATATAATTTTTTTAATAGTAATTTACTCCTTTGTTTAATTTCAACAAAATATCCTATCCAAACAAGAGCATAACACAAAAGAACACAACGCTCTAACAACCATATAACTTTTTTTTTTAATTGCTATTTACTCATTCGTTTAATTTCAACAAAACACCTCACCTAATGAGATGGGTGGGCACGATGCTTGGAGCACAGCAAGTCCATTCTTGGGTTAATTTTGGAGACCGTGACTCAGAGATCATCCTCCACGTTCAGTCACGACCTGTATTTATTTTTAATGTACGTGAGTGCCGAAAAAGTCTTTTCGCACAAGTAGGTAGTGCAAAACGGCATCAGTACATCCATAGCGGCCTTGGATAGTTGTGGGTATTCCCTCTCTACTGAAATCCAAAACTCATCCAGAGTCTTGGAATTAAACACTGTCTTCAATGTTCGGTCGCATGACAGTTCATCCAATGCGTCCTCCATGTCCGATGTCAGATGATTTGCCCTCGTTACAGTGAATGGTGACCTTATCCAGTCATATTGTTCTGGAGCTGTTTCCTCTGGGAAATACCTGTTAAAGTGTTCCAGGAGGGCTTGAAGGTGGGATGTGATAGACTTCTTCACTATGTTAACATTCAGTTTGTTTTTCTCCATGAATTCATCCAGCTCAGAAAACATATCAATCCTTCCTATTTCAACTCGCTCAGTCAAGCGCTCAAGTTTTCTCTTGAATGCGTGGATTTTATCATTTAGCGAAATTATGTGTGTGTTCTCACCTTGCAATGACATATTAAGTCCATTCAGTTTTTCAAATAGGCAAGCCAAATACGCCAGCCTTGTTAACCAGTCAGGATCAGTGAGGTGATCAGCGAGCTGGGACCCATGCTCCTTTAGAAAGAAGTGCACTTCGTTCCGCAGCTCAAACAGGCGGCAGAGCACATTCCCTCGCAAAAGCCACCTGACTTCTGTATGGAAAAGCAAGCACTCATGCTCAAATCACAGTTTGTTACAAAGAGTGGCAAACAGTCTAATATTGAGTGGACGCACTTTTATATAGTTGACCATTTTTATCGAAGTCTCAAGAACACGTTTAACTTCTGGGTCAAGTGTTTTGCTCGCAAGAGCTTCTCTGTGTATAATACAATGCGTGAATTTTACGTGTGGCGCCGCTTGTAAGACTCTTGCTTTAAGACCTTTCTTTTTCCCCAGCATTGCTCCAGCACCGTCTGTACACACACCGACTCACTCACTCCAAGACAGTCCATCTTCTTTTAGTTTGTTGTCAAGTTTTGTGAAAATGTCCTCGCCTGTGCCCGTTCCCTCCAGTGGGGTGCAAAACAGAATGTCCTCATTAAGTTTTCCATCAAAACTGTATCTGACTAATACAAGCAGCTGGGGAGAGTTTGATATATCTGTGGATTCGTCTAACTGTAAAGCATATTTCCCTCTCTTCAGTCTGTCCACCAGCTGACACTTTATGTCCTGGGCCATGTCGGAGATACGCCAGGCAACAGTCCCGTTAGACAGCGGCACTGGTTCTAGCTCACGGGCCAGTTTATCCCCATGCATAGCCCGACTTATAGCTACAGTATAGCAGCAGTTTTAACGAGGTTTTCCCCGATCGTGTGTGGCTTTTTTGCCTTTGCAATTAAATATGCCACCTCATATGATGCCTGTTGAGCTTTTGCGGGGATTGTTGTTTGTTTAGTTAGGATTTTCTTTTGGCCTTGTAACTCTCGCTCCTTTCGCCGGAAAAAATCTACTGGTTTAGTAGCAAGAGAGGGGTGCTTAGTTTTCAAGTGTCATAGCATTTTTACAGGCTTTAGGCTTTCATGTGCAAGCACCTCAGTGCACACCACACATTGGGGATGCTGTATGTTATTGACGATGATGCATTCGAATCCATACTGGATAAATTCCTCTCGATAATTTCGACACTTGGAGTAAGGCTGAGCCGACTGTTTATGGATGTCCTCTTTATGCACACGCCGGTCTCTTTCCGTACCTGAGGACGATGGGCTTTCTGATGGTGGTGCTTCGCCGCTTTCCTCTGCTGGTCTATCTCTCAATATTAACCAACGTTTCATTTCAACGAAAATAATATCCTAAGCATAAAGAGATGAAAATTACCCACACGTTACGTGCACATGTCGGAATGTTTAACATGGTGCTGTAAATTCTGCTGCAACTGACGCTATTTATGTGTCGTTAATCTGTCATAATCACCTCAGGGGTCGAGATCAAACGGAAAGAAATTTGAAAGGCTGATGGCTTTTTAATTTGCATGTTTTTTTTAAATGTAACTATTAACTACTAGTTTTTATCTTTTGTTAGTTATGGATAAAATGTTAATATAAAATGTTAAAATGTTGATAAAATGTTACTTCTAATAGTTTTAAAAAAATTATTTGATTTCTTGGAAATCATCTCGCGACCCCCCCAGAGGGTCGCGACCCCTACTTTGGGAACCAGTGGTGTAAAGCACACCGCCACTGGACTCTAGAGCAGTGGAGACATGTTCTCTGGAGTAACAAATCACACTTCTCTGTCTGGCAATGCGATGGATGAGTCTGGATTTGGTGGTTGCCAAGAGAATGGTACTTGCCTGACTGCATTGTGCCAAGTGTAAAGTTTGGTGGAGGGGGGATAATGGTATGGGGTTATTTTTCAGGGGCCCTTAGTTCTAGTGCAAACAACTAAGCATTCAAAGCCATTTTGGACAATTTCATGCTCCCAACTTTGTAGGAACAGTTTGGGGATGGTCCCTTCCTGTTCCAACATGACTGCACACCAGTGCACAAAGCAAGGTCCATAAGGACATGGATGAGCGATTCTGGTGTGGAGGAACTTGACAATCATGCACAGAGCCCTAACCTCAACCAGATAGAACACCTTTGGGATGAATTACAGCGGAGTGCCTGCCCTCATAAATGCTCTCCTGGAAGAATTATCAAAAATTAATAATTACACTCTTAAACCTTGTGGGCAGCCTTCCCAGAAAAGCTGAAGCTGTTATAGCTGCGGTAGGCCAACTCCATATTAAAGCCTATGTATAATGTATGGGATGTTATTAAAGTTCAAGTCTGTTTAAAGGCAGGTGTTCCAATACTTTTGGCAATATAGTGTATGATGGAAGAAGTGATTTCACTAGGTAGCTTGGTAAGCATGATTTATGGGTGCAACAGATCACAAAACTCACGGTTCAGTTTGTATCATGGTTTCTGAATCAGGGATTGGATCATTTTTCATATCAGCAAAAAAACATAGACAAATATAACTTTGCTTTCCATTTATTACTTAAAGAACTTAAAGAAAGCTCTAGGGAAGTAACTTTTATCATGCCCCATTCACGTGAAAACATGGTTTGTCTGTATCTTTTCACTGCAACTCTACATCATACAGGACATCTGCATTTCTGCCTATTTTTCCAGAACTGCTAAGCCTACAGTTGAAATTTATTGCCAGTCCAATTGAATATGTCCTGATGAATCCAACTGCATATAGAACTTGGTTCTCCATCTTTGTGTTTTTGCATGATTTATATTTCTCTGAAAACATGTCGTTTCGTTAACCTCCTAGGATTTTCTCCCAACGTACTTAAATCTGGTGTCAATTAAATCAGGAGACAGTCCTTTTATAGACTTAGAGAAAAAAACTTAAACTTTCGGTAAGGTACGGCCAAAAGCCACACCAAGACCCTACTCGTGCAAAGTCCATTTCAATCAGACAACTATATCTCAGGCATGCTTCAACCAATTCTTCAAGCCAAATTTGGCTGCCTATTATAAGGCGGTACCCCAGAGAGACCCTCCAAATTTTGTGTCGATCGGTCAAACGGGAGTGCTGCGGCCACTGTTTATATATGTCTAAGACCCACCTAGGCCAATTCAGCTAAAATGAGTTACCAGATCAGTTAGGAAGGTGTCTACCGATCTCACCCGTCTTGCCAACAGCAGCAGGTGGCTCAGTGGGCTAAACTTGTGTCCTTGTAATCAGAGGGTCGCCGGTTTGAACCCAGCTTCGGTGGGTACTTGAGCTAGGCAGCCCAATGTGCACAGCGTACTCTCCATAAAGCAAGCTGGGGAGACATAAAGGCATTTTCCCCATGAAGGTCAATGAAGCTTCTATTATTATTAAACCAGCCATTCAGACAGGCTCAGGCACTCCTCCGGAGGGTTCAATTATAATAATTTTTCTTCCCTAAAACTGAATGCCCAGCCTAAACCGTAAGTCCTAGGCTGACCAAATTTGGCAGAAAGATGCCTATTGCTACCCACTACTCAGCCCCTCCGACCCGTCCCAGTCAGTCAGAGGGGGGCGCCATAGCACCCCACAACACGTTTTGGTCGATATCTCCTGTCCTACTAGTCCTACACTTAAATTTTATTGCCAGTCAAATTCACTATGTCGTGCCAAATCCAATAACATATAGATCTCGGTTCTCCATCTCTGCATTTTGGCATGATTTATATTTGTCTGAAAACAGCTTTTTTCTTTAACCTCCTAGGATTTTCTTCAAACCTACATAAATCTGTTGTCATTGAAATCAGGAGGCAGTCCTTTTAAAGATTTAGAAAAAAAAAATTAAACTTTTGGTAAGGTATGGCCACCAGCCACACCCTGACTCTACTGGTGCCACGTCCATTTCAATCTGACAGCTATATCTCAGGCACGCTTCAGCCAATCATTACCAAATTTCTAACTCTGATGAAGGGCTGTACCACAGAGAGACCCTCCAAATTTCGTGTCGATCGGTCAAACGGGAGCGCTATAGCCAGTATCAATATATGTCTAAGACCCACCTAGGCTAATTGTGCTAAAATGAGTTACCAGATCAGGTAGAAAGGTGTCTACCGATCTCACCCATCTTACCCACAGCAGCAGGTGGCTCAGTTGGCTAAGCCTGTGTGCCTGTAATCAGAGGGTCGCTGGTTCGAATCCTGCTTAGGCAGGTATTTAAGCTAGGTATCCTGATGTGCGCAGTGTGCTCTCTGACATCAACTGACTTGTTACACCTGCACTAAAAGCATCTCCATCCTTATTTCTGCCTACTACTGAGACAGTAGTACAGTCCTGCTCTGTCCTACATCTCCTATCCCGTTAGACCTACGCTCAATCTCCGTCCTGTTATGGCCGTCTAATTCTCTCTGACTATCTACTACCCTGGCTACCGGTTCTCTGCCGTTATTCCTCTACTGTCCTACCAGTCCGATCATCCTACGCTTTGGATCCGTTCATAACTGCCTGCAGTTTCTAGTTTTTCTTGTAATTTGAACATAGCCAAAGATGTTTTCATGAGGTCACAAAATAAAAGTTGTCTTGGGAAAACAAAAGATGTAATTAGACATATGAACAGCATTTACCAAGAGAGAGGGAAACGGATTCCATTAAAAATGCTACATGGCCATGGCTAATGCTATTGAATCCATGCAGCTTTTTTTTTTTATTACATTCCCACAAAAAATGTAAAATTCCACCCAAGTGCTATACATAAAGGCGGATTCTCCTTCATTGTGAGAAATAGTTTCAACTTTGACTTTTCACACTATCACGGTTAAACTTTGCAGCACCAAGAACCAGCCATGAGCCCACAACTCCAGAATCGGCAGGTAGGATTACTCATTGAGTGAATATTACTAGAAGTAATATAATGTAGAGTATGGTGTAGACCTGCTCTATA